TGTGAATGAGTAGCACTATTACTGCGTAGCTGCTGCAGCCTTGCCTTTGCAGAGACCGGTGTACAGCTTCATGTACAGGTTCAGTGTTCAGTTCATTAGTGCGGCACTTCGCCGTATCTGCAAAGAACTAGTGGATTCACAACTTTTTATTGCATGTAGATGCTTCAAATCGGATTTATACCTGGGGTTCGCACCCGAATATTGTACAAGTGATAGGTACTGTCTAGTCTTTTGCCACGCCGCTAAGGGTTGAATATGAGCGGCAACAACAATTGTCTGTACAACTTGGACGCACACCCATTCCTCACTCCGCTGCTTGCCGAATTGCCGTTATCGAATTACTCATTGCAAACAGTCCAAGTCTGCAAGATGGGCTCGCGTTTTCTAAATCCCCATCTTTTAATGGCGAAATGATCTTTCCTGTAAGCGCATTGCTGACAGGAAAAGCTGAATCTGTTGCACAACAACACCCTTCAAGTGTTTTCGCAGGATCCGCAAGACGGTATTGCAAGCGACCACTCATCCCGCCGCCATTCCAAGAGCCAGGAAAGTTGTGGCGAGCTCCATGACATGGGAAAATGCCCGATGGAGGAGTTTTACAACCAGATTCTCCAATGGTTCAATCCGACCAAACACATGAGTATGCTGCTGGAAGCTGCCGAGAAGATGTTAAACTAGGACGTTGGGGTGGAATCCGATACAAGCCGAGCGTTCTAGATATTACATCGATGCATTTGTGCATAAGACGTCGGTAGATCAAGTTGCAAGCAGCGTGATCTACCCGATAATACACGTGATCCGCATGGGAATCATACCTTCGCGATATCCAGTCTTCGCCAAGCTGATGAATACGCCAGATCCGATGTGACCATGACTGCGGATCTGCATGGTTCCGTCAAGCCAAGATTGTCGGCAAGTTCCACAATGAGAAGGCGATCTTACTCCTAGATACTGGTGCCGAGGTATCCGTCGTGGATAACGCCTTTGCTCGTAAGGTTGGGAGCTACATCGACTCGAGTCAGATCCAAGATTGTGTGGAGATTGGTAACAATGTGTATCGAACGAAGGAAGAACGCGGATCAAGGTAACTCTCCCAGGATCGTTGGTTTATTTCTTCGATATCTGGGTAGGGGATCTCTCTGGCCAAAAAAGCTATCCTCGGCATGGACGATATGGTTCCGGCCGGAATCCGCCTGGATCTCGCTCACAGATCCATCAGCTTGCCCGACGAAGTCCGGATCCAGCTTAGCTGAAGGCGCCAGCTTTACAGCGACAAGGCCAGGATCGTGAACCTTGGTTAATCTCTTAGGACCCATCCAGCAGAATCAGTGGAGCTCCCCTTACGCCTGAGGACCTCGGATCATGAGAATTTATGGGTCACTCGTGGAGATCATTGGGTCCCCACGACAGTCCATGGTCCAGGGAAGATCCGATACATGAGAATCACGAACGTCGGCGACAAGGTGTTGATCCTCCATCATGACTTGCGGATCGGATTCTGGCTGGCCGGCGATCATGTCCGCGACTGCCAGGTTTCATCTCAGTCGGGTCCCGGCGCTACATGGAGTGGTAAAATCTGGTTTTTCGAAGCGACTGTGGGTCCCCGATCTGCAGGCCAGGATCCGGATGCTGAAGATCCGCCAAGGCCTGCGGTGGAGCGCCCCAAGTATGAAACTCCGCGTGGAATACTACAACGACCCAGGCCGACTGCAATCAAGTGTCTGAAGGACGGATCAAGTGGGATCAAGAAGTCTTTGACCACCCGCCTTCGGATGATCCGCCGTCGGACAATCCACCGCTGGATTGTCGACCGTTGGATGTGACGTCTGTCTCCAGTGATGAGTCGGATCTGTCATACATCGCAGATGACGACTCTATGTCACATGTCGTAACGGTTGTGAAGGCGCTGGACGATCGGGATCCGAACGTATCAGATATTGTAGCGGTGGATCCAGCCTTAGTCGAAAATCCAACCTCGGAAATCGTATTGGCAAATGAGGCTCTAAGTGGTGCAATTGGCGCGGATCAAGATCCGACAGCCTAAGAAATCCAAGATCCGAAGGTGGCAACGTTGAAGGATGATGGGTCACATCCATCATCATTGATGGGCGTAGAATCTTGGACGGGCCTGATCCGTTGAACCAGAAGGACGCCACGTCTATGTTGCAGAAAAAGGATGATGATCAGGCGGCTGTTCTTGAAGATCAACCTGACACATCGGATCTGGATCTCACTTGGGACTCGGATCAGGATTACGACGAATGTGTGTATTACCACGAAAGCAGTGATTTCTACGCCGTAGATGTCATCGGACAACTCACGGTACTGCCCGAAGTCCCAATAACAACGGAAGATGTGAGGATCGAGGACATCCGATTGTGCGGATCCGATAATCAGACGCCGGAAGAAATCGACCGACTCCTTTAGCGGATCTGGAAGTTTCGACATCTCTTGATCGGCAAGGGAAATGCACTCCCGCCGGCAGCCCGAGGGGTTGTGTGTGATATTGATGTGAGAGGGGCTCGGCCGATCGCGCTTAGGTGCCGTAAGCTGCGGATCCAATTCCGAGAGAAGTTGGAAGAGCTGATCAAGGGTCTCCTGTGAGCTAAGATGATCAACTAGTCAAGGAAGCCACGGGCATTCCCGATAGTCGTGATCATCAAGAAGAACGAAATGGATATACGATTGTGTTTTGATTATCGGTTCGTTTATAGTCTGACACATCTGATGGTCTACCCGATGCCGCTGATCAACGATCTCCTGGAGGATCTAGAGTCTACACTATGATATTCCTCACTGGATATGGCGAGTGGGTTTTAGGTGGTGAAGATGACGGATTGGGCCCGCCTGATCTCGGGCTTCATCACCCCATTTAGACTTTTTGAGTGGAATCGGATGCCGTTTGGGCTGAAGGATGCGCCGCAGATCTACCAGCGGATGATCGACAACGCCTTATATGGGTTCACTCGGATCCCGAAAACGGCAGGTGATTTGGAGCGTCTGGATGTATTCGAGGCCGGAGAACATGAAGATCCGGGAAAACGATCGGTGTTAGGACGCAGATCCTACATCGACTACATCTTAGTACCGGCGGATAATTGGGATCAGCTATGTGACCCAGTGGAAGATCTTCTGGAGGCGTGCAACAAATGGAACTTGTCCATCAGTGTTGTCAAGAGTTTATGGGTCATGTCCAAGGTGGAATATCCCGGTCACAAGTTAGCGCACGATGGACTGGAGGAGAATCCGAAGGATCTGTCGGCGTTGACGGATCTCGAGTTTCCCGTATCCCTGCGTGCTATGTGATCCTTTTTGGGGAGCCTGAACTACTATAGTCGCTTCATCGAGGATTATGCGATCTACGCGTATGTACTATATGAGTTGAGGGAGATTGAGTATGCCACGATGGAGAGGGGCGTGAATCGAGGCCGGATACAGCTAGAACATCGGAAACCCAGGATCCGGAGGTACTGACTGAGGATCCGATAAGTTCGCAACCCTCAGATCCGGACTCGCGGGGTCCGGATCCCGAACCTAGCCAGCGAGATCCGAACCCAGTGTCAAGGAATCCTACGCTTGACAGTGCAAAGATATCGGATACCAAGAAGGACAATGTAGCAGATCTGGATCCCCGATGGATCCATGCTCACAGATCGTTCAAGGTGTTAAAGGAGAAGATCGCGACGACGCCGATCCTACGCCACTTCGATCCGGATCGGCAAGCTGTGGTGGTTGTATAAGCCAGTGATTGGGTGATCTCCTGTGCATTAATGCAGGAGTATGATCAGATCTATTATCCAGTAATGTTCGCGAGCTGTACG